CTGGTTTATCTGAACTATGCGGTGCTCAAGGCTGCAAGTTTGTGCAAGATATCCGCTAAGCACAATAAGTTTTCCTCTGCCCGATTTTATTCTCTTTAACCCTTTCAAAGGTAATCTTGAACCTGGTACTTAATTGGACCAGCAGCCTCAGCACCACCTGGTAGCTTGTTAAAAATGCAAATTCCCTGCCCTAGCCGGTTTGGCTCGATGGATAGAGCGTCGGCCTGCAGACTGAAGGGTCCCAGGTTCGATTCCGGTCAAGGGCACATGCCCGGGTTGCGGGCTCGATCCCCAGGGGGGGGGGGGGGGGGGTGCAGGAGACAGCCAATCAGTGATTCTCTCTCATCATTGATGTTTCTAACTCTCCCTCTTCCTTCCTCTCTAAAATCAATAAAAATATATTTTAAAAAAATGCAAATTCCCATTCCCATCCCCCAGACCTCTCTCTCTCTCTCTCTCTCTCTCCCAGCAATCTGTGTTCTTACAAAGCCCCTAGAGCCGTGGTTCTTACCTTCCTAATGCCGCGACCCTTTAATACAGTTCCTCATGTTGTGGTGACCCCCAACCATAAAATTATTTTCGTTGCTATTTCATAACTGTAATTTTACTACTGTTAGGAATCGTAATGTAAATATCTGATATGCAGGATGTATTTAGGCGACCCCTGTGAAAGGGTCGTTCGACCCCCAAAGGGGTTGCGACCCACAGGTTGAGAGCCGCTGCCCTAGAGATTCTGATGTAGGTAAAAGTTTGAGACTCACGCAGTAGGTCTGGGATGGGGCCTGAGGATTTGCATTTCTGACAACCTCCCAGGTGATGCTTGTCCAGGGACCTCTCTTTGAGAACCACTGCCTTAGAGAACCCCAAGAAGCCATGGGAGAGTCTCACACTATTTCTTGGCTTAAGCCCACTAGCCAATACGAGGGACCTGGAGCTGGGACAAAACGATCAGAAGAAAGTGCAAAGGAAGCTTCTGCCACCTTAACCCTGAGCATGGAGGCATCAACCTGCTACACCCTCTCTATGGTTTACACCTGTGGTCGGCAAACTGCGGCTCGAGAGCCACATGCGGCTCTTTGGCCCCTTGAGTGTGGCTCTTCCTAAGCCTTAGGAGTACCCTAATTAAGTTAATAACAGTGTACCTACCTATATAGTTTAAGTTTAAAAAATTTGGCTCTCAAAAGAAATTTCAATCGTTGTACTGTTGATATTTGGCTCTGTTGACTAATGAGTTTGCCGACCACTGGTTTATACGCATCCTCTCTCCTTGGACTCTGCTCTCAGTTTTCCATTTAGTACAGGGGCTTAAGTAATCCAGAATGGTGCTTTTTTTCCTTCTTTTTTCCTTTCTGACTTGGAAAAGTTTCAGATGTCTATTTTTGTTTGTCCAGATTAGGTTTTGGTTTGTGTTTTGAGATCTGGGTATTTGAGTCATCTTTGAATTCTCATTTTACCCAGCCTTAGTTTCCCAAAGTAAACAGTATACTGTTACCTTAGGATTATTGTGACAAATAAATTAAATAACAAAGTTCCTGTCACTTAGTGAATATGTAATAAATGTTAGTTTCTGTACTTCCGGTCTTACCCCCAAATAGGTGAGCACAATCCCACCCCCCACCCTGTGGCTGATCAATATGCTGAAATTAGGGCAAAGATAGAGAAGTCTAGGGAATGTGGGGAAACTGAGCAGGGTTTCCGAGGGACGGGGTGGGGGGTGGGGGGTGGGGGCTGCAGGTCAGAAACCAAGGCTAGACATAGATGTTGCAGACTGAGGCTGGGTTCAAGGTGCGTATCCTGGAATCTAGAGGAGCGAGCGGTTTGCCCGAGGATGGAGAAGGGAAATGAGAAGTGAAACTGGATGGGCAGCGTGTGTTGGGTGGGCTCTTCCTCAGGCAGGAGTGTCCTGGCTGGGCTTGGAAAACCCTGGAATGCAGGCTTCCAGCAGAGGAGCCCCCATTAGGCCGCCTGGTTGCCTGTAGTATTTAGAGGAAATGCTGACTCCAGGGACCTTGGAAGTGCCCCACTCCTCCGTTAGGACATGACAGACACCTAGTTGTGACCAAAGCTGTGTCTCTCTGGGACCTGGAGAGGGCTGGGTCCTCTTCTATGACCCTTTTTAGGTGGCAGGAGAGGTGCCATAGTCTTGGCTCTGTGTTCAGGATGTCTGGATTAGAGCTAAAGGGAAAAAGATTCTTAATTCCCTCTGATAAACACTTGTTACTTATCTCCCAGGCAGAGGGCAGAACCTGTCTAGCTAGTGGTGGGGTGTTTCAATGAGGTTCTTTTCAGCTCCATATCAAGAGGATCATTAATGGCAACGGCCAGTGGAGTGAGATGCCCTATGAGGTAATGAGGCTCACACACATCCTAAAGCTGTGATGGAGGGGCTTTCTGTTCTGGGCTGGAGGCTGGGCCTTTCCTGCTGTAGATTCTCTTCAGATCACTCCCTCCCATGGGGCTTGAGGGAGTGATAAGGTGGAGTCTTCGCCCAGCTGCTGAGGGCTCTGGGTGGTGAGGGTTGCTGGGGAGCAGTTATCTGAAACCACAGAACCCAAAGCAAGCAGAAAGCTGAGGTCAGCCTTATCTAGAAGTGCCAGAAATGGCTGAAAGCCAGGGCCACCTGGTGGAGAAAGCAAGGGCCGCCTGAGAAAATGGCTGGGATAGAGGCGGTGCCAGAGCCTGGCTAGCTGCCCTTGACTTCTCTGAGAAGCAGGGTGCGTGGGAGGGCTGCAGGGTTGTAAGGGGGCTGGCGGTTACCGATTCTGTGATTTTTCTCATGAAGGCTCCACTGCTAGATCTGAAGGCAATTCCAGAGAATATCAGAAATGCCTTACACACAGGCGGCAGCAGAGAATGAGTGACTTTCAAAGATGAATTCTTAGAGAATAACTTTTACCTTAGATGTTTACATTTAAAAACAAATGATCAGTTTCAGCAAGATCATTTTGCAAAGTCATTGGCATTTCTTTTTTCATAGTAATAATGAACTAAAAAAATAGTGGCAACAGATAAATGTTTACTATTTGGGAAACGAAGGAGAACTGTTAAAGAATTTAATTCTCAATAAGGAAAATAGAACAAGGCAAATAAATGGCAATATTTATTAAGTGCAAATTAAAAATATAAGTCTAATTCATACCTATTTGAAATAGCAAAATAATAAAACTCAATGTTAATGTGCTTGTGGGGAAATAATCACTCTCACATATTGGTATGTTTTCTGGAGAGCAGTAGATCCAAATGAAACACAAGCTGCCAAGAAAATAATTGTGTCCTTTGGGGAATACTCCCAAAGGAATAACCCCAGGAAAATAACAGACAGGAAGAGAGGTTATTTGTATAAAGGTAATTGTAGTCACACTATTTATATAGTGAAAATCTGGCCATAACCTAACCACCTGATAATTTGATAATGGTTGTGCAAACTAGAAAATAGAACATCCCATCATATATATTTTTTATTGATTGATTTTGATTGGTTGCTTCCTCTTTTTAAAAAATATATTTCTTTATTGATTTCAGAGAGGAAGCAAGAGGGAGAGATAGAAACATCAATGATGAGAGAGAGTCATTGATGCCTCCTGCATGCCCCCCACTGGGGATCGAGCCCACAACCCGGGCATGTGCCCTTGGCCGGAATCGAACCTGGGACCCTTCAGTCCACAGGCCGACACTCTATTCACTGAGCCAAACCTAGGGCTGGTTGCTTCTTTTATGTATCCTGACTGGGGATCGAACCTGAAACCTTGGCGTATCCGAACGACACTCAAACCAACTGAGCAACCCCACCAGGGCAATATCCCATCATATTAATAACTATTAAAATCATAAATCTGAGAACTTTGGTGATACATTAGGTAGCATATGTAGATTAAAAAGTGTAATGAGTTTGTTATGTAGACATTGCTAACTGTCAAATTCTTGTTTGTCCGATGAAACTATCAGTGTTCTCAGGGCTTCTCAGTGAGCTAAGTCAGTGCGTCTTGGACTTCAATGTGATTTCATCATTTGGAGATATTGTTGGAAGATGGATTTTGATTCAGTAGGACTAGGGTAGGGCCTGAGATTCTAAATTTCTGACAAGCTCCCAGGTGCTACTGGTTCTCCTACCACACTTTGAATAGCCAAGATCTAAATCTTTGCCACTTAGTATGGTGGCCACTAGTTATATGTGGCTATTCCAATTTAAATTAATTAAAATAAAGTAAATAAAAAATGCAGTTCCTAAGTCTCACTAGCTCTATTTTAAATGCTCAGTAGCCATGTAGGACTTACATCTTGGAAAACTTGGATGAGAGAGCAATCTCATTGTCAGAGAAAATTCTATTCGGGATAGTGTTGACCTACATAATCAAAGACTTAAAGTGAAGGGGGTTTTTATCTCTTTCTGTAGACTTCTTTGAATTCTACCATTAAGAGCTCGTTACATTCCTTTATAGTCACAAATTATACACGTATACATTGATATATAAGATGAAGAAGAAATAAAGCAATGAACACTTTTGTGTAATTAAAATCTTGGATAAATGGAATTCAGTTTTCTCCCTGACTCTATAGTCAGTCCATAAATGTGTTATTCTCATTATTCTTTGTCTCTCGTTGAGCAATCATTTCTAATAAATTGGTTTCAGGTTTTTTTTTAAATATGTTTTTAAAAATTGCTTTTAGAGAGAGAGGAAGGGAGCTAGAGAGAGATAGAAACATCGATGAGCGAGAAACATTCATTGGCTGCCCTCGAAATGTGCCCTGACTGAGGGTTGAATTATGCCCTGACTGGGAATTATACGGGCAACCCTTTGGTGCATGGGAGGATGCTCCAACCAACTGAGCCATTCTGGGCCATCAATTTATATTTTTAAAGTGCGATTTCTAAGCAGGACCAACCTGTACTAGTTATCAAAGGATGTGGGTCTTGATTTCCAATGACTGAAAGTTCCCTGGATGATTTTTAAAAATGTTTGTGAATTGGAAATACTGACAATTGTCATTTTTCCCCCCAGACATTTGTGCAAATATTCTCACGATGTTCTCTCAGAAGCGAACTTTATAGTCCTGAAACGTCATCAGATCTCTGGACTGAACAAAGAAGAATTAGCAGTGCTTCTCGTCCAAAGTGACCCTTTTTTTATGCCTGAGGTAAGTTATGATTCCTTGGTTTAAAAAGCAGGAAGAATATATAATTGGCAGTGTTGTATCATGGATGTGTTGGAGTAAGACCAGGAAGGAACTCAGCACCAGGGCTCTCACGGGGCAACACCAACAGATGGCTTTTGTTGAATGACCTAAGAGATTCCAGCAATTTTACTTCCTGCTTGAAGGTTTATAAGAATTGGAGTCTGGAATGTCTCCTCTGCTAGGCTGCTAGGGAGCCTGGTGTGAGCAAGTGTGATCTGAAAATGCAGTAGTAGGACTAATTGAATGCTTGCTCGCTTTATTTATTTATTTATTTTTGGTTTTTTAAAAAATATTTTTATTGATTTCAGAGAGGAAGGGGGAGAGAGAGAGAGAGAGAGATAAATATCAATGATGAGAGAGAATTATTGATTGGCTGCCTCCTGCACACCCCACACTGAGGATCGAGCCCACAACCTGGGCATGTGCCCTAACTGGGAATCAAACTGTGACCTCCTGGTTCATAGGTTGACGCTCTACCACTGAGCCACGCCAGCCGGGCATCTGCAGACTTTTAAACTAGCGTCCTCCAGTCCTGCATCAGATGGCCTGGCCTCAGGCATAATAATGTTTCTTCTGCCCTCCTTTCAGTAGGAACTACATCTCTGTAGAACTAGATATACCTACTTCCATAGCCATACAAAATTATCTTCTTTGGTTGATCTTTTGAGAAGCTTTGCCACATTCTGTCTGGTAGAGACTTGATTCTGTATTTTCAACAGTTGCAAGTAAGACCCGCCTGACTTCTTAATGAATTGATATCTACAGGTGGGCCTTCCTCCTGGAGGTGCCCTCATAATGTAGGGCTCACCTTGGGTCCTGTTTGGTCCTATCTGTAGCTCACCATTTTACTCTGATTCTTCCAAAGGATTATCAAATTCATATTTCTTTTAGTGAGTCCGCAGGTTCCTTCTGCCCCAAAGTCATGATCAATTGAATATAAGTCATTAAAGACGGTGGCATACGCATGCATTGTCCCCTTTGGTATATGCTTCTGAAATTTCTGTGTAGTCAAACTTGCCTTAATGAATGTGTAGCAGACACAGGAAGGATTTTTGTCTCTGACTCTCATTCTCTCCTCTGTAGATATGCAAAAGCTATAAGGGAGAAGGTCGAAAGCAGATTTGTGGCCATCAGCCCATGTGCGAAAGACTCCACATCTGTGAACACTTCACCCGAGGGAACTGTGGTTTTACCAACTGCCTCCGGTCTCATAACCTAATGGACAGGAAGGTACTGGAGATGATGAGGGAGCATGGACTGAGCCGGGAAGTGGTGCAGAACATCCAGGACATCTGCAACAACAAGCACAACCGGAGAAGGCCCGGGTTGAGAGGTGAACCCTGTCTACTTGTAAAAATATATATGTTTTTATTGATTTTTAGAGAGAGAAGAAGGGAGAGAGAGAGAGAGAAAAACATCAATGTGAGAATCTAACATTGATCGTGCCTCCTGGGGATTGAGCCACAATTTTCATGGTGCATGTGATGACGCTCAATGGACTGAGCCTCATCGGCCAGGGATATACTTTCTACTTTTTAATGGAATAAAGAGAAATCACAAGGAAAGAAAAATCACCTACAATCACTCTACCTCACCACGTAAAACCCTCTTCATTTTCCCTTTGAGACCTTGTCCACATTCATACACAACTTTTACATAATCACAGGGGTGGGCAAAAGTCGACTTACTTACAGCTGTTTGTATGGAAAATGATACAGTAATTAAAAACCAATCAGGTTTTAAAAAAATGTTTATCATTTTCTTTTCTTTTTTTTATACATTTGTGTGTTTGTTTGTTTTTTAAATATATTTTTATTGATTTCAGAGAGGAAGGAAGAGGGAGAGAGAGATAGAAACATCCGTGATGAGAGAGAATCATGGTGGATCGGCTGCCTCCTGTAAGTCCCCCACTGGGGGATCGAGCCCACAATCCGGGCATGTGCCCTTGACCGAAATCGAACCCGGGACCTTTCAGTTCGCAGGCCGACGCTCTATCCACTGAGCCAAACCGGCTAGGGCTGTTTATTATTTTTCTAAAAGCTACTTGATAAAGCTTTTTCTTAAAAAATAAAAAATATATGGTTTTTTTTAGATTAACCAGTTGTTTACATTTTTGTCACAATTGTTTCATCGCTTTCTATCTCTGTCCATATATATGCTCACACGTATAACATTTTTGTGTTTAAAACATTTGAGGTATGCTGTCATCAGGAGACTCCACACCTAAATATCTGAGCATGTACCTCCTCAAGGCAAGGCCATTCTCTTACATAAACCACAATACAATTACCATAGGAATTTTAGCATTAATACATGCAATTTATTTTATTGTTCTCAGTACTGTTTCTTTAAAAATGTGTTTGTTATTTTTTAAGTTGCGGTAAAGTAGAAGATACAATTGACTGTTTTAACCATTTTAAGACAGTGCAGTGGCATTAAGTACATTCATTCACATTATGTGCAAGAATCACCGTCATCCATCTCCAAAACTTTTTTTTTTTTAATATATTTTGATTTTTTTTACAGAGAGGAAGGGAGAGGGATAGAGAGTTAGAAATATCGATGAGAGAGAAACATCAATCAGCTGCCTCCTGCACACCCCCTACTCGGGATGTGCTCACAACCAAGGTACATGCCCTTGACCGGAGTCGAACCTGGGACCCTTCAGTCGGCAGGCTGACGCTCTATCCACTGAGCCAAACCGGTTAGGGCTCCAAAACTTTTTCATCTTCCCAAACAAATTCTGTGCCCATTAAGCAATAACCCTATTTCCCCCGCCCTTGGGAACCATTTTCCTTTCTGTCTCAATGAAATTGATTACTCCAGGAATATCATAGAAATGGAATCATACAGTATTTGTCTTTTTGTGACTGTCTTATTTCACTTAGCATAATGTCTTCAAGGTTCATCCAATCCATGTCAGAATTTCCTTCCTTAAAAAAGTTATGGCCCTGGCCGGTTTGGCTCAGTGGATAGAGCGTCGGCCTGTGGACTCAGGGGTCCCAGGTTCGATTCCAGTCAAGGGCATGTGCCTTGGTTGTGGGCATATCCCCAGTGGGGGGTGTTCGGGAGGCAGCTGATCAATGTTTCTCTCTCATGGATGTTTCTGACTCTCTATCCTTCTTCCTTCCTCTCTGTAAAAAATCAGTAAAATATATATTTTTTAAAAGTTATAAATATATTATGCTTTGGTGGGTGTGCTCAGTGGTTAGAGCATTTGTCCATGTACTGAAGAATATTGGGTTTAGTTCCTGTCATTGGCATGTACCTGGGTTGCAGGCTTGATCCCCAGCTCTGGCCGGGGCACATGCATGAGGAAACCAATCGATGTGTCTTTCTCGCATTGATGTTTCTCTCTCTCTCTCTCTCTCTCTCTCTCTCTCTCATTCCTCTCTCCCTTCCACTCTCTCTAAAAATAAACGGGAAAAATATCCTAGGGTGCAGATGAACAACAACAATAATTGTGTAAAAATGCACTTAATATAAAATTTACCGTCTTGATCATTTCTAAGTGCTCAGTGGCATTAAGTACATTCACATTGTTGTGCAACCAGTCTCCAGACCTCTTTTCATCTTCCAAAACCAAACTCTCAGAATCACTTTCCATTTCCTCCTCCTCTCAGTTCCTGTTAACCACCATCTGGTTTCTGTTTCTTTGAATTTGACTCCTGTGAGTGGAATCACACAGTATCTGTCTTTTTGTGACCGCCTTATTTCACTTTGCATAAGGTCCTCCAAGTTCCTTTAGGCTGTGGCCTGTGTGAGAATGTCCTTCCTTTTTAAAGCTGAATAATATTCTGTTGTATGTATGCCCCACATGTTTATCCACTCATCATAGATATTTGGGTTGCTTCTACCTTGTGGCTACTGGGAATGTGGTAACGCTGTTTTGAACACGGGTATACAGATATCTCTTTGAGACGCTGCTGTCAATGCTTTTGTGTATGTTCTCAGAAGTGGGATTGCTGGATCACATGGTAACTCTGCTTAATTTTTTTGAGGAACTTCCAGACCATTTTCCTCAGTAACTGCACTCTTTTACATCCCACCAGCAATGCACAAGGGTTCTAATATCTCCATCTCCTTGCCAGCACTTGTAATTTTCTGTTTTTTTTTTTTGTTTTTTTTTTTTAATATTAGTCATCCTAATGGGTGTAAAGTGAGCGGTACTATTTCTTAAGCATTTTTATATTGTTTAATGGTAGGAACACTTGCCAATTTTTAATGTCTTGATGAGGTGGATGTTGAAGAGGCGAATTTTGTGAAGCAAACAGAATACATAATTCTAAGATTCTTTTTGTTGTTGTTGTTATTGATTAAAGTATTACATATGTCTCCTTTTTCCCCGATTGGCCTCTCCCTGGCAACTCTTCCCACCCCCCACTCCCCCCATAATTCTAAGATTCTATGAGAGGTAATAAACAATTGAACTTCCTTATATTTGAGAAATGCTTTATAGTTTACAAGGAAAGGACTTGCTCCTCACAGCAAAATAGCAAAGAAAGGCAGGAGTGTTGTTAGCCTCACTTAATGGAGGAGGAAACTGGGTCTTGGAAATGTTAAGTGACTTTTATTGCAAGCAGCCTTAAGTCAGTTTTAGGAGAGTGAAGGGCAATGCTATGAATAAATAAAAGAAATGTTTCCAAGGCCTCACACCACTGGGCAGTGGCAGAACTCGTGTTCTGATCCTACATCTGATGTCTTCTCTCCCGCACCATGGTACTCTCACAACAGGGGAACATCTAGAGTGCTGGTTTTTGGCGTTGTTTTCCAATATGAATTTATTTATTTACTTTTTCTTTTTTAAAAAAATATGTTTTTATTCATTTTAGTGAGAGAGGAAGGGAGAAGGAGAGAGAGAGAGAGAGAGAGAGAGAGAGGAGAGAGAAACATTGATGAGAGAGAAACATCAATCTGCTGCTTTCTGCATGTTCCCTACTGGGAATTGAGCCCTCAACCCAGGCATGTGCCTTGACTGGGAATTGAATCTGACCTCTCGGTGCATGGGATGGCGCTCAACCAACTGAGCCACACCGGCCAGGGTTATTTATTTAAAAAATATTATTTTGTATTAGTTTCTAGTGTACAGCATGTGGTTAGACAATCATATCCTTTACATATTCCCCCCTATTTCTAGTACCTACCTGGCATCATACATAGTTATTAAAACACTAGAGGCCCGGTGCACGGAAATTCATGCACTGGTGGGGGGGGGGGCGGGTCCCTCAGCCCCGCCTGTCCCCTCTCACAGTCCGGGAGCCCTCAGGGGATGTTCTACTGATGGCTTAGGCCCGCTTCCCTCTGCAGGAGGCTACCAGGCTGATCAGGGGAAGGCACTGCCCCCATCACTCCTCTCCTGCTGCCACTGGCGGCCCTCACAGCCACTGCGGCTTTGTCTGGAAGGATGTCTGGTCTATCCGGTCTAATTAGCATATTACCCTTTTATTAGTATAGATTATTGACTGTATTCCCTATGCTGTACTTTACATCCCTTTGACTATTTTGTACCTACCAATCTGTACTTCTCAGTCCCTTCACCTTTTTACCCAGTCCCCTAACCCCCTGCCCTCTGGCAATCACCAGTGTGTTCTCTGTGTCTATGCCAATATGAATTTACTGTATGTGAGAGAGATCTTTATTATCACTTCCAGTTAATCTACTTAAGTAACTACTTTGTTGACAGGAGGAGGATGTTTGCTTTTACTATGTTCCTGCTGCCCTCTGGTTTGGAAGAGAAAAAACCTTCCGTACACAGAATAGCACAACTCACACACATAAACACTCATGCACACTGCACACACCACACATGCATACCACATGCACACACTTCACATACACTCACAAACACATGTGTGTCATACACTTCCTCCTATCTGCTTCCCAGGGATGTGGCTTAAGGTTGTAGAGACACCAATTCTTTTTGATATTGCTTGCTTAAGTTTGGGTATTGGGTGGGGTGGGAGGGAGCAAGTTGGAGAACTTGGGAAACTTTCTAGTTTAAGTGAATTTAGACCTTTACACTGTCATTTCATTTTTTTGGTTTAAGTTTTATGAATTCTTAACTTGTTAGGTACATCCACATCACAATATGAGCAAAATCTAGATGATTTTTGGAAACTCCTGCCTAATTTGCACTAATCTGCCTCTCCATTCACCCTATCAGTGGTGGGGAGCCCCACCTAAGCGTTTGGGGGCTTGGGAGCTACGTCTGAGTCCCAGGAGTGAAGCTAACAGAGCCAGGGTCAGCCTGACCCTTCTTGTTGGCGGCCTGGTGTTTTCTGCTGTGTATGGAATGGCAGGATGCCTTCATCACCATGAATGCCCTTCTCAGGATTTTGACACACCACATTAGGATAAGTAATTTGATAGAACATGGATAGCAAACCTGGAAAGGCTGAGAGGAATTGTAGTCAGAACTCCATCATGTTTCCCAGTTGATAAGGCTCAATGGTTGAATGTCGAACATGAGCCATAAGGTGATTGGTTCCATTCCCGGTCAGGGCACATGCCCAGATTGCGGACTCAATCCCCAGTGGGGGCGTGCAGGAGGCAGCTGATCAATGTCTCTCTCATTGATATTTCTATCTCTCTATCCCTTTCTCCCTCTCTCTCTAAAATCAATAGAAACATATATATATTTTAAAAAGAACTCAATCATTTTAACACTACTTTTCATTGTTTTTGTCTTTTCCTAGGTCCTTCACGTAACCGGGACCCAGCAGCTAGAGGAAGAAGCAAGAGTAGAGATAGGTTCTTTCAGGCCAGTCAGGAGTTCCTTCCATCTGCCCCAGCTTCAACTGAGACACCCAGCACACCCAGTGCAGATCAGATCGGCCGCAGGTCTCCCCGGGATGATGTGCCTGTAGAGGATCTCACCTGCAAGTTCAAGCATTTGGGAAGTCAAGATGGCCCTCAGCCTTCCTCAGCCTCACCCAAGGCCGCCAATCTGGGAGGAAGCAGGCCAGTGGGAGGAACCCAGAGGTTTTCAGAGAATGGCAGTCTAGAGGACCTCTTCTATGACAGTACCGCCAGCAGTCACCTCACTTCTGATTTGACACCCACTTTCAACCAGAAGGTGCCCCCATCCTGGCCGAATGACCAAGGCACCAGTAGAGAGAATTTGTTTTCTCCGAGTCAGGCTGCCTCATATTCTCCTCTTGGTTCTCTGCAAACACCTGACACCGTGACCACCAGAAAAGGTGTGGGCATGCTGTCCCCGGGCCACATGAATATTGAGGGCAGAAGTGGGAATCCAGAAGTCCAGCATTTCCCACTTTCAAATAATAATTTGGATGGGATGGCCACAGATACCATGTCCACGAGATCTTTAAATTACAAAACCGCAACCAGTAGGCAGAGAGAAAATTCATTACCTAGGAATCAGGAAATCAGAACCACTCACCCTACTCTTGACCCCATCATTGTAGATGATGGTAAACACAGAGAGCAGGTATTTTTCCACAACACAACAAATGGCTCGACTAAAGTTATATATGAATCTACTGATGCCACTGATTTTGACTTAACATCGGCAGTCAGAGCCAGAGTCGATAAAGATGTGTTAGGCTCTGCAAGTCCGTATCTGAGACCCCAGATCCTGCGCATGCTGGGGGAGACCACTGCCCACACAGTAGTGAGCACTGTGCCCAAAGGACCACCTTTGACACCTTCCTCAAACAATAGAGCTACAGCCGCTGCGGCCCATGATCGGAACTCTGCTCAAATGCCTGTCACCTCTGCCAGCGAGCTTGCCAGGAGGACACCCGGCTGTGCGTTGAGTAAGTCACTGAAGGACAAAAGGGGCCCCATGTCGTGTCTGCAGCAGAGCCCCTGTGGCTGGCAGTTTCGCTTAGGATGTTCCCCAGCAGCTATTAAAGGGCATCGAGTTTTAGAGGGTTTGAGTTAAGGGGTGGTACCGGTAAGGAGACTGACTTAGAAGGTGGAAGGACCTACCAGTAGAAGAGTATGGAATAAACTGCTACATATATTGAGAACAGGGATGGTTTGACCATGGTTTAAGAAGTCAACATCACTGGCATGTGACCCTAATATTCACGTTTGTTTTTATGGAGGGCTTGTTATGAGCAACACATCAATCAGGAATTTTCTTGACCATGGCCCAGTTTTGGATATTCTCTCCCACTGTGAGATCAGGTGTCTCGATTTTTGGTTTAAAATTAAGATCAGCATACATGCCTCCTCTTCTGTTTTACAGATTCTGTATCTGACGTCACAAATACCATGGATGATCCTGGTTCAAAGGAAATTTGTCTTGACCATCTGAATAAGAGTTGTCAATCTAGTGAGTAACTTAAGGTCTTTCTAGAAGTAGAAACTATTAATAGTGGTATGGCTAACATTTACTAAGCATTTACTATGTGTGAGGCATAGTGCTAAGGACATTACATGCATCTTCTTTAAACTTGACACCAACCCTAGAAATAGGTTCTCTTGCTAACCCATTTTACAGATGGGGAACCTGGAGGCATGCAGATGTTACGATTTTATATGTACAAGTAGGCAGGTTGGATTTTGACCCTAAACTGCCCAGCCTGCCTGTGTTCTTCACCAATGCATGCTAGTATACTTTCTTCTTTTGCAATTCAGTTTTAGGTGAAATATTATGCTCATTCAGGGACCTATCTTTTTATGTACTAAAAACAAGCAAACAAACAACAAATTCAAAAAACAAAGGAATCCTAGCAGACACCCTTTTCAAAATTCATTTCCTGTCATTATTTAGCACTAGAGGCCCGGTGCACAAAATTCGTGCATGGGTAGGGTCCCTAGGCCTGGCCGGCTATCAGGGCCGATTGGGGCCTTCTGGCTGCTGGCCTTCCTTCGTTCCGCACTGCCCCCTGGTGGTCAGCGCATGTCGTAGTGAGCAATTGAACTCCCGAGGGGACACTTTGCATATTAGCCTTTTATATATACAGTGGGGCCTTGACTTACAAGTTTAATTTGTTCCGAGACCGAGCTCGTTAAAGAGCTCGTTAACCCAAATTACTCTATCAACTCAATGCAAAAAATCGGCCGAGAGACAGCTGGTATCTCAAAAAACTTGTTAGTCGGGACACTCGTAAGTCAAGGTCCCACTGTATATTTATTGTCTCTCTTGTGGCCATGCATACTAAAGACACCTGTGCTCCACCGGCCCAGTCATCTGTTGGTCATTCCAGCTGAGGAGCCACACCTGGTCACTGTTCCCTCCCCCCAGGCTTCCTATAGAAATTATTCCCATGGGACTGTGCTTGGGATGAATTCCTGTCCTCTCACTTTGATATCTCTTCTCCCCTTCCTTCCTCTGTCCCAGGCTTGGACATCATGTCTGATTTCGTCTTCTTGATCACTTGTTTTTTTGCCTTTGAAGAGGAGGATTCTGCCCTGTGCTCTCTAATTCAAAAGTCTTTAACTTAAAATTTTCTTTTTCATTGTCATAAAATACATATAGATTTAAAATATATATATATTATATATATATATATATATATTTATTTCAGAAAGGAAGGGAGAGGGAGAGATACAAAGGGTAACTGTACATTTAGAATGACCTCAGATCTTCATGTGGGTAAAGGGACTGTTTGGGGAGTGGAGAATTGTTGTTTTCTGATGAGTCTCTGTGGGTGATAAAGGAACCTGGAAGTACGGTTATGGGGCAGTGCAGGCAGCAGCCAGCATGAGCAAAGGTGGAGACAGACAGCATGTGCCTGCATGCGGTCCTGGCTGTGTGGGAAAGGCAGGCCTCGATGGGAACGTTGGCAGTGGCCTTAGTTGAATTGGTTACAGTCCCACTGAGCCCTCCTCTCTGTCTTTGTAGAAGGCTGCAGCAAGGTTCACTTCCACCTGCCCTACCGGTGGCAGGTGATGAATGCAAACACCTGGGTGGACCTCCAGCCCATGGAGAGTATTGAGAAGGCCTATTGTGACCCCCAAATCTGCATGTAAGTTGGTGGCTGGACTCTGGCTTGTGAGATTCACAGTATCATCAAAGGAAAGCATAGTGTTAGGCTTATGGGAAGAAGACACAATTTTCCTTCAGAATCCCGTTCAAGTTTTAGATAAAAACAGCAAACGCCTACTGAGTTAAGGAAAAAAAAAAAAAAAGAGTGGATTTGAAGTCACGCAGAGCCTGGATAATGCTAGGGATTCTGAGAATATTTGCTGACTCATGCAAAGTAAACAGTGACACGATTATTAGTTTAGTTAATATTTGTCATTGTGTCGTGCAAATAAACACCATGCAGAGGTCGGTTTATATTTCTACCAGATTATGAAAGAACGATTAAAAGTACTAAATGATTACCTCAAAAGAGCCTTTGGCTTAATTTCACAGTTTTAGAATATGATTTGAGCAATTTCATATAGTTCCAGTGCAGAATTTTGTTGTAACTTTTAGCATTTTGTAACTTCCTTTTTGTTTGCTGTTTTCTTTCTCCTAGACCCTGATATCTCTGATTCTGTCAGGGCTGAAATAGGTGATACCACATATGACAATATTTATAAGATGCATTCCTAGTTTAATAAGGAAATTCCTTGGGGGGAAAAACAAATCTCATACATTTCATCATCTGCAAGTTTAGTGAATTTTTGGTGGAGATTCTGCTGCTGCATTTGGCCACTAGAGGGTGGCATCAGCTATTTTCTTGTTTGTAGGTGAATTTCACCCCCTCCCCAGATAAATTTGAAGTAGGGTTTCTTAACCTTAGCACTATTTACTTTTGGACCAGAAAATACTACTACTACTACTACTACTACTACTACTAATATAATAACTTTTTGGAGGGGGTTGGTGTAGCAGCATTGCTGGCCTTTAACCACTAGGTGTCAGTTGTGATAACCAAAGTGTCTATAGACATTGCAAATTCCCCCTGGGGACAAAATCATTCCTGGTTGACAACCACTGATCAAGGAGGTGCTTCTTGGAGCAATAATTCTCAAGCCTTTTAGTCTCAGGACCCACCTCTTTACAGTCTTAAAATGTATAGAGGATCCCAAAGAGCTTCTGATTTTATGTATTATAGCTATCCACACTTATCATAGTAAAAATCAAAACTGAGACAAATTATTGATTCATTTAAAAGTAAATTCATTACATGTTAATATGAATAATATTTAACTACATTTATATAATTACACAGTTTTGTGCACATAGTTATAGCTGTAGATATGTATAACTAAAAATAACCGTTTTCCAAAACAAAAATTCATTGAGAAGAATGACATTGTTTTATATTTTTGGAAATCTATTTTGAAATCACACACGATGTGGCCTCTTGAAAACTCTACTGTGCACCTGTGAGTGTACGTAAGTGAAAAAGGCACATAATGTCTTAATATTATGAAAATATTATTACCTATGAAAAGGTCTTTTGATAGACCTACTGTGAGTTTCTAACTCACTTTCTAACCCTGAACCAGTTTTTTTGTGTGGGCACCGTCTTACTTGGGATAGTTTTTGAGGAAAGAATGCATTTTGTGATACCATTGAATATGTGGGGCAGGCAAGTGACATTACCTCTCTGTGTTTTAGCTGTTTCTTTTATGTGGTAAGACCGGCAGGTGTATCAAGAACATCTGAAGATCCCTTTTAGCTCTAAAATATCAGTTCTGTGCTTTTGTTAGGGAAGACCGGATTGTAGAAAACAGAGGTCAATGAAGCATTTTGATTAACTTTAAACTTTTCCCCCTCGTCAGCATTCCTTTCGGAAATTTAAAAATCAATTTCCAGAAAATGACTTGTGGTTCTGATCCCATCCGACGTCTCTCCACACCTTCGTCCGTCACACGGCCGGATAATTCTGTCTTCACCACAAAATGGATTTGGTATTGGAAGAGTGGAAGTCACAGATGGATTCCGTATGGGGAGAAGGTGAGTTCCGTTCCTCCCCTGGAGGCGCGTGTTTAAACTTGCCAACTCCAGGAGAAAACCATGACTAACATGTTTGACGCCGCCATGGTCACCGATGGAGAGTGGGTGTGGTGGAGGAAGTGGTGCTTTTCACAGTATACACAACTGTATTGGCATTGTTTTCGCAGGCATGTACTGTGATTGCAATTATAAGCAAAGACATATATTATTTTTAAGAAATCGCTTGAGATGTGAGTCCGCTGCATGCCCCCCTACCCTCACTGTCAAGGACTGGGGTGGGACCTTGAGATAGCTTTCTATGTATTAGTGCGTAACTGTACAGATCACGGCTTCCCGCCAGAAAACAGGGAGAGCGGAGGATCAGCAGGCTGACACAGAGGGTCACTAGGGTTCCCTGTCTGAATGCAGGGGAACTTGAGAGGGTGGGCCTGGAGCGTTTGAGGCGTGCCCACGTAGGGACATGCCAATTGGGGTAGACATTTAGAGAAGCAGAGCTTCTCTCTAGTGTCCCTTCCTCTTTTTGATTCATAGGATTAAAAAGAGAGAAAGAGAGTCTGGCTGACGTAGCTCAGTGGTTGAGCATTGACCTATGAACCAAGAGGTCATGGTTCGATTCCCAGTCAGGGCACATGCCTGGGTTTCGGGTTCAATCCCCAGTGTGGGGCGTGCAGAAGACAGCTGATTGATGATTTTCTCTGATCATTGATGTTTCTATCTCTCTCTCCCTCTCCTTTCCTCTCCGAAATCAATAAAAGTATGTTTTTAAAACAAGAGAGAAAGAGAGAGAGGGAGCACACTGACGCAGCCAATGAAAGCAGAGTGATGAGAAAGAGATTAAAAAAAAAAAGCAAGAGATGAAGTTAAAGCCAAAGACAGAACGGGCACAGGGAACACCAGCGTAAGGTTCGACATAGTTAGAGGTTGATGAGCCGTGAATCTGGCCCTGAGCTGTCTGGCTGCCAAAGCAAACAAAGAGGCAAGCTGTCACAGGACCCCTGTGTCTCCCTGGGAAGAACACACCAGTTCCTCAGGAGCAGCACCACTTTTTTCTGTTAATGGGGCCTGAGAAAAACATCTGCCACAGGGCCGGGAAGAAGGGACCGTGGGTGCTGTGGCGAGAGGTTCTCCGCAAGTCACTCCCGTAGCCCGTGGTTTCCCAGCTGCCCTAGTCTCCGTACAGGTTATCAAACAACCTTTCCCGGAACCCCAACGAGCACACGGAGTAACAGAACTTCCCTGGGGAATAGGATAGGGGCTCAGAGCTTGGGGTCTTGACCCCTTTGTCGCCTCTCTGCTGCGCTGGCCTCTGGAGCACCTTGGGGTGAACTCTCCCATGATGTTGAGCTTTGTACAGGTTCTAATGATCAAGCCAAGGATGATGTCAACATGCAGTTTCTCTTTTTTTAAATATATTTTTATTGATTTCAGAGAGGAAGGGAGAGGGAGAGAGAAACATCAGTGAGGAGAGAGAATCATTGATTGGCTGCCTCCTGCACGCCCCTACTGGGGATCAAGCTTGCAACTCGGGCATGTGCTCTTAATCAGAATCGAACCTGGGACCCTTCAGTCCTCAGGTCGACGCTATCCACTGAGCCAAACCAGCTAGGGCAAAGTGCAGTTTCTTAAAAGTGATTCTGTGAGGTGTCCGTGGAAATAGAAATGACGAAGTCAAGTTAATTAGCTTTGGTTAAAATAAACTATAGGTCTCAATGGTTCTTATGCCAAATAATTGAAATTTTCAGTAAGCTAAGGGAAAAGCGTTGGGGAATATTTGCATTTTACTGACATCAGGTTCCAGAGATTAAAGGTGGGAAGAGTGGGTGATCTCAGTGAGAACCTGAAAGAGACAGTAAGCATTAAAAAGGACATAAAAACCACAAGAAAGAACCAGTCAGAAGTGACGAGTACAATATCTGCTAATAGGGTCTTACATCCAGTCTGCCGTGGGCTGCCACCCCTGCCAGAGATGGGGACAGTGCAACGGGGACCACCCCTGCCCCCTTGCTAGATTCGACATACTTCCCTTTACCCACCATTCTGAATTCAGACCCTTCATAAATGTCTTGAGGCCTGAGAGTATGTCTTGATATTTCAGTGTTACTTCTAGTCCCTTTCATATAGTCCCTGTCAGTGGCAAATTCAAGTACTTTTTCAGTGTTGTGGACTAACTAGAGACGTAGTCCATTGTATTTGCTTACTCTGGCTCGGTGCGGAGGAGGAGGGGCGGGTCATTTACATTTGGACAGCAGTGCACCCACTGGAGCTTTCCCTGCCTTCACCACAGCTCGCCCTGCTTTCTCGTGTGGTGGGCCAATAGAGCCACCGGGGTCTCCTTCGTGCTAGAGTGCTGGATTCTGTGATCAGGGCAGACACGATGTCCGTACGGTGGGTCTGAGTTGCTCGGTACACTTGGGTCCTATTTTATGGAAGGTGTAAAAAGATTCTTGCAGCCCTAGTGGTTTGGCTCAGTGGATAGAAGAGCATTGGCCTGCAGACTGGAGGGTCCCAGGTTCAATTCCAGTCAAGGGCACATGCCTGGGTTGCAGGCTCAATCCCCCTGTGTGGGGCATGCAAGAGACGGCCGATCAATGATTCTCTCTCATCACTGATGTTTCTATCTCTCTCTCCCTCTTCCTTCCTCTCTGAAATAAATAAAAATGTACTTAAAAAAATATTATTGTGAAGAGCTATATTTTTCCAGCATCCACCAAGCGTAGTTCTTACAGTGTAGACCAGCCGTGGGCAAACTACGGCCCGTTTGAAATGAATAAAACTAAAAAAATAAAAGACCATACCCTTTTATGTAATGATGTTTACTTTGAATTTATATTAGTTCACACAAACACTCCATCCATGCTTTTGTTCCAGCCCTCCGGTCCAGTTTAAGAGCCCATTGTGGCCCTCGAGTCAAAAAGTTTGCCCACCCCTGGTGTAGACTGTTCCCTCCTGGTCCTGGGATGGAGGAAACTATATAAAAGGGGAGCCTTTATAATCTGGTCTGGGAGGCAAGATAATCCCTCTTTAAATCCCAGGGCTAAAATAAAATTACATAACATACAGTGGTAGAAATTACTTAAAAGCCTACCATTACTTAAAAGTCTTTACTTTTTTTTTTTTTTTTTAATTAGGGCGACAGTCGGCAAATTTCGAGCGTCGATTCCTCATACCTGGAGTCTGTCTTCCTCTGCACTCCGAGGGGCATTGTGCCGTTTCAGGCGGGTTCTGAGGACTTCGAGTTGAGTTTCCAAGGTAAGAGTCTGCATTTGGCGGTGGTGCCCGTCGCTGGAATGGGCATGAGTGGACATGCAGGGGGCAGCCGAGAGGATGTGGGTTCAAGGTTCTTTTAGCAAGACCAGCAGTGTGGGGTGTGGAAGCCAGTGGCCGTCAGAAGACCCATGCTCTGGTCTTGGCTCTGACATACAGTAGCTATGTAACCCCGGGAGCAGCCCCTGGCCTCTCTAGGCCTCAGTTCTCTCACCTGTCAAATGAGGGCATTGGGCTAAGTGGTTTCTGGGGGTACCTTCCAGCTTCACCATTCTAAGTTTCAGATTCTGGGCATGCTGCTTCCCGGCTGAGGCATAATTTTCAGGTGCTGATGACGACAGTGGAGACCCTGGGCCTGTGGGTGCCTTCAGGGTAGTAGAACCTTGCTGATCCTCTCAGGCGTCATCCTCTAGGTCACTGTTCAGTTTCATCCATTACGTTTTCTAAAGATCTGCCTTTTGCTGTGTTTATCTCAGCCACCGTGGTCAGCTTCTACCCCTCTGTCTGTGTGTTTAGTAAGAAATCAGGGCAGCACTGCCCTCCCTGTGAATGTGTGGGCCCTTAGCTGCACCCTTGGGACACTCCCTGCAGATGGTCACATTCTTGGTCTTTCAGGACCTGCCCTGCAGGTGCTCTGTAAGAGGTAAAGGAGACTTGCTCAAGTCCTCAAAATGCCCAGATGGTACCTGAGATTTGGACTCTGTACTCATTACTAGTGTAGCTTTGAAGGACCTATTATACCAACACTAGAGGCCCGGTGCACGAAATTCATGCACTGCGGGGTGGGGGAACGGGGGGGGGGGGCGGCGGCACGCACAGTCCCTCAGCCCAGCCTGTGCCCTCTTGCAGTCCGGGAGCCCTTGGGGGATGTCCGACTGAGGCCCACTCCCCGAGCGCTAAGGATGTCCAACTAAGCCATCAGTTGGACATCCTTAGCGCTGCCGCAGCAGCGGGAAAGACTCTCACCACCGCCGCTGAGCTCGCCAGCTGTGAGCCCAGCTTCTGGCTGAACGGTGCTCCTGCACTGAGTGTCTGCATCCTGGTGGTCAGTGCACGTCATAGCGACCAGTTGTCCGCAGTTTGGTCAATTTGCATATCAGCCTTTTATTATATAGGATTTTTGAAAAGCAACCTGGCAATACATATCAAGGAATAGTAAAATGTGCTTGGCTTTTCATCTTCTCAGGAATATTTCTTTCTTTCTTTTTAAATATTCCTATTGATTTTTAGAGGGAGAGAGATATAGACACATCAGTGATGAGAGAGAATCATTGATTGGCTGCCTCCTGCACGCCGCGCCCCCTCCCCCAATGAGGATCGAGCCCACAACCCGGGCATGTGCCCTGACTGGGAATCGAACTGTGACCTCATGATTCATGGGTCGATGCTCAACCACTGAGCCACACCGGCCGGGCTCTTTCTTTTTTTAATATAAAGCACTTCACGAATGTCTGTGTCATCCTTGCACAGGGCCATGCTAATCTTTTCTGTATTGTTCCAATTTTTGTATGTGTGCTGCTGAAGTGAGCACTCAGGAATTTTTCTAAGGAAATAATTCATTGGAAGAAAAATAAAAAGCTGTAGGCAAGAAGGTCTTTATTGCAGCCTTATCTAAAGAACTAAAACAGGACATGACTCAACAAATTGGGGCATTACATTTTAGTGGAGTATTGGGTACTTGTTAAAATTCTGATTATGAAAACTGTAGTAAAAGCAAAAATTGAAATTGTTAAATGAAAAAGGCAGGGCCCCCAATTTCTGTTTCTGCACTTTTCTATTTGTATGCTGAAGAATCTAAAATGTAAAAGATTGCCCTGGCCGGTTTGGCTCAGTGGGTGGAGCGTTGGCCTGCGGATTCAAGGGTCCCAGGTTCGATTCCAGTCGGGGGCATGTGCCTTGGTTGCGGGCACATCCCCGGTGGGGGGTGTGCAGGAGGCAGCTGGTCGATGTTTCTGTTAAATGAAAAAGGCAGGACCCCCAATTTCTGTTTCTGCACTTTTCTATTTGTATGCTGAAGAATCTAAAATGGAAAAGATTTTTATTTTTTATTTAATTTTTATTGTTTAAAGTATTAAAAATAGTAGTACAAAACGGGAAAGTTTTAAAAATGTAATGTGCATGCTAGTGCAGCAATGTAATGGGACCAAGACTAGAAGGCAATAGAGATAAATAAAAATCTCTTCTGTTGGATGATGAAATGAAAAGTGGCTTAAACATTTTTCCCCCTTGGTTGGTAGTCTATCATTTAGAGTTTGTCAAAGTTGGTGGAGAGAAGAAAACCAATGTTCCAGGTTCCTCCATCTGGAGCAATTTGATCAGTAATCTTGTTCACTTGCAACAGAGAAAGCAGTTCAGAGCAGTTTACAGGGTCCGGACTCCTTTCCTCTTATTTCTTATTCTTACATTCTCTCATTCATTAATCGAATATTGGAGCGTCAGCTGCGTGCCAGGCACTGTTGTAGCCGTGGGCAAACCAGGCATTTTCAGAAAGTGCTCACAGCCACAGGGAAAGGAAGCAATGTGATGAAGCAGCGAGAGAATGGGGGAGTCTTGGGATGCGCCTGCTTTTATGGGAAGAGGAAACTTTGAAAGAGGGGGTGCAGCCCACCAGGAGAGGGGAGACTAGCACTTCAGCTGTAAGCTGTAGACAAGCCTGAGGTTTCAAAGAACAGCAAGAAGGTCTGTGAGAGAGGAGAGCAGGCACAGAAACTTGGATGTTTTATGAGCCGGAAATCAGGAGAAGGTTGTGACGTGATCTGATTTGCCCTGTTTGCTCTTTTGTTGTTGTGTATCTTTGTTTCATCTTACATCAACTATACTGAGTCATAATTGCTACAATGACGTGCATGCATTTTGAGCGTGCCATTGGATGAATGTTGACAAGTGCATGCAACTTCTCTCCTCATCAAGATAGAGAATGGCCTCAACAATCGAAGTTTCCTCATGCCTTTTTGCCATGAGTCTTCCCCTGCCTCCAGCGGCTCTGCTTTCTGTCACTATCGATTTGTTCAATCTATTCTGGAACTTCCTATCAAGAGAATCTTTTAGTGTGTGCTGTGTCTACAGCTGGCTTCTTTCACTCACAGTGATGTCTTTTAGGTTTAGCTATGTTGTTGCATGTATAGTAGTTCTTCCCTTTTCGTTGCTGAGTAATATTCCATGGTCAGGATCTATCATGGTGTGTTTATCCATTCACCTCTGGATGGGTATTTGGGTGGCTACTGGGAACATTCAACTGCAAGTCTTTGTGTAGATACAGGATGTCATTTCTCTTGGGTAAATACCAAGGAGTGGGATTGCTGTATCACATAGGCAGTGCATGTTTATAAGAAAAGGAAATCATTGTAGCAATATATACAAGGATTTCCTCTTCAAGGCAGTCACTCTGGTTAAAGCTTGGATCTAGGTCTACAGCATGCATGAATTGAAAATGGCATTTCATACTTCATGTAGAAAAAAACCTTCAAAATACATAATTATGTCATGTAATCCTACATAATAAAGAGTTATATGCAAATTAACCCTCACACCCTCACAAAGATGGCTGCCTACGACCAGGCCGGCAGGGGGATTAGTGAGGGACGACCAAACAACTGAACAGCAGGCTGCGTGGGTCAACCAGGCCGGTGGGGGTGCAGTTAGGGGCAACCAGGCTGGCAGGGGGGGTAGTTGGGGGCAACCAGGCCAGCTCCTTCCTGACTGCCTGCTGCTTGGTGCACTGCTATATCCCGCAAGGGGTCCCGAACTGCGAGAGGGTACAGGCTGGGCTAAGAGGAACACCCCCCCCCCCCCCCCCCCAGTGCACAAATTTTGTGCACCAGGCCTCTAGTGATATATAATCATTAATGCCTGGTTTAAGGCAGCTCACATGGATGATGTCTTGTTATCTGGCTACCCTAGCTCTCTTCTTTACCACCAGATTTATTGCTAAGATTAGATTCATTGCTAAATGCTATTTACATCTTTGTTTTCTGGGTCTTATAAAAAGGGCAGTGAAGTTTATAAATTTTTATCATGAGCAATTTCCATCCAAAAGTCTTTTCTCTATTTATACATATACTGGTCAGACATGAATATTTGCTGTTTTACTAGCCTCTGAAAAATAACAATGAATCATTTTCTAGGACTAACCCTTAATTCTTGTTGGTTTTCTTTTTTTCTGTCTAAAGGGATGATGCAGACAAACATCGTTTCCAAGACCCAAAAGGATGTCGCCAGAAGACCAACATTTGTGTCTGCCCGGGATGTGGCGCAGATGAAAAGTGGGCCAGAGTAAGTGTTCTGAGGCAGTGCTTGCTGGCAGGTGTTTGCGGCGGTCACACACTGATCCCATCGACCCACTCGAGTGTGGAGCCTGTTTTCTTCTCTTTTTAAGATATGTTTTTATTGATTTTTGAGAGAGGGGATGGGAGAGGGATAGAGAGATAGAAGTGACTGGGAATCAAACTGGTGACCTCTTGGTTCATGGATCGATGCTCAACCACTGAGCCACACCGGTTGGGCGGGAGCCTGTTGTCTTGATGTTCCTGCTTGCATTCCATTGCAGCTCCCTTTTGCATTGCCTCTGAGTGAGGTGTTTTGAAGCAGCACAGTGTGATGGGAAGAATACTAGCGTAGGACATCTATCTCTAACTTATAGGGGACTTTGGGCAAATCTCTTCACTACCCTGGGGCTCCGCTTCTGTAGTTGGGAATGGCTGGATTACTGGGGTGTGCCTAGAAAATGCTCAAAAGCGCTGAGTGTGGTTTTGCTGTGGGTTCTTGTGGGTATCCTTAGTTTTGTTGAGAGAATTTATAAAGGTGGGAGGCTGTGGAAGAAATGGAAAGAAAAAAGTGTTGAGGTAGCTGAGCAAGGGGATTTGGAGAAAGATAAAGTTGACAAAGGGGATTTTCAAAGGAAATTTTGCTGTGGGGGATTCAATGTAACTCTCCTCTGTGTGCTCATGAAACTCAGTAAAATCTGCATTATCCATGAACATTTTTGGAGTTGGATTTTTTTTTCGGAGTGATGTGTGATTATGTAAAACAGATTTCAAGCCTGGCCGGTGTCCTCAGTGGTTGAGATTCCCGGTCAGGGCACATACCTGGGTTGCTGGCTCAATCCCCAGTAGGGGGTGTGTAGGAGGCTGCCAATTGGCGATTCTCTCTCATCATTGATATTTCTATCTCTCTCTCCCTCTCCCTTCCTCTCTGAAATCAATAAAAACATATTTAAAACAAGACAAAACAAAACAAACAAAAAAACATTTCAACGCAGGTGCAAAATCAAAGTGTTCTAATTAGGTTCTTTTGGTGGTAGGAATTAAGATATTTCGTGAAAGGGAATTAGTTAAAGAATAAACATGGTGTAATAAGGAAAACATTTTACGAAAGTTCAAGGATGGGAAGAACTGAGCTATGTCAGGGCCTCAGGAGTGGAAGTTGGTTCCAGTTCTGCTTTAGAACCTGAGCAGCCTGGGCTCAGAGGTACTTGCCTGTACCTGTACGTGTGACCAGGTTAACAGCCCTGACTCTTTTTTTTTTTTTAAGTTTTTTTTTTATTATTGATTTTTAGAGAGAGAGGGACAGAGAAAGAAACATCGATGTGAGAGCAGAACATCAATCAGCTGCCTCCTGCACTTCCCCTACCAGGGACTGAGCCCGCAACCCGGGCATGTGCCCTGGCCGGGAATTGAACCTGTAGCCTTTTGGTGTATAGGATGAAGCCCAGCAAACTGAACCACATTGGATTTCCAGATGCTTTTCTCTGGCTAGTGCCAGACCATTTTAACCTCAGAATTTCAGTCTTCATATCCCTTTAGCTTTACTTTCTGCCACTACTGCCTGATTTTCTCTGAATTTCTTTTTTCTTTTCTTTTTTTTGCTGAAATGACAAAATTTTATTTTTCAATTACAGTTTACACTTAATATTATTTTGTATTAGTTTCAGGTGTAGCGCATAGTGGTTAGATAATCATACACTTTACAAAGTCTTCCCCTTGATATTTCCACTCCCCACCTGGCACCATACAGTTATTACAATATTGACTATAATTCCCTATGCTGTACTTTACATCCCTAGTGACTATTTTATAACTACCAATCTGTACTTCCTTTTTAAAAAAATGTTTTTACTGATTTCAGAGAGGAAGGGAGAGGGAGAGAGAGAGCTAGAAACATCAATGATGAGAGAGAATCATTGATCGGCTGCCTCCTGCACACCCCACACTGGGGATCGAGCCCGCAACCCGGGCATGTACCCTGACCGGGAATCAAACCGTGACCTCATAGTTCATAGGTCGATGCTCAACCATTGAGCAACACTGGCCGGGTCCAATCTGTACTTCTTTATCCCTTCACCTTTTTCATCCAGCCCCCCAACCCTCCTCTCTTCTGGCAACCGTCCGTCTGCTCTCTGTGTCTACTATGAGTCTGTTTCAATTTTGTTTGTTCATTTATTTTGTTCTTTGGATTCCACATATAAGTGAAATCATATGGTATTAGTCTTTCACTGACTGACTTATTTCAGTTAGCATAATACCCTCTAGGTCCATGCTGTTACAAATGGGAAGATTTTAATCTTTTTTATGGCTGAGTAATATATCTATCTAATGGTAGATATGTACCACAACTTTTTTTTTTAATATAGTTTATTGATTTTTTTTACAGAGAGGAAGGGAGAAGGAGAGGGATAGAGAGTTAGAAACATCAATGAGAGAGAATATCTAGTTCATGTTCTATTTTTCCCCATTGTCTCAAAAACGAGTTGATATATTCCAATTTGTATCAAAACATGGTATGAATGCCCTAGCTGGTTTGCCTCAGTGGATAGAGCATCAGCCCAAGGACTAAAGGGTCCCAGGTTGGAATCCAATGATTAGAGACATACCTAGATTGCAAGCTTAAGCCCCGGCCCTGGTCAGGGCAAGTGTGGGAGGCAACCAATTGATGTGTCTCTCTTATATCAATGTTTCTCTCTCTGTCTCTCCCCCTCCTTTCCACTCTCTCTAAAAATCAATGGAAAAAATACCCTTGGATGAGGATTAATAAAAACCAACCAAACAAAAAACAATAAAACAAACATCGTATGAATATGTCATTTTCTAGATTTGTCTCTGAAGCCTATTTAAATCTATTACAGTGTCTCCTCCTTGACCTTTCTGTTAAACCTTACCCGGGGATCGAACCTGCAACCTTTTTGGTGTATAGGACAATGCTCCAACCAACTGAGCCACCTATCCAAGGCCACTTTTTTTTTTTTAAGAAACCAGGTGATTTGTTCTATAGAATCTTCCAAATTCAAAATATAGCGAATTGTATCCTCATGGGGTTGCGTGTAATTTCTGTGAATTAATGGTTAGATTTAGAGGACTGATTAGATTCAGGTTCCCTTAAAAATTTTTTTTCTTAGTTTTTTTTTTTTAATTTATCTTTATTGATTTCAGAGAGGAAGGGAGAGGGAGAGAGAGATAGAAACATCAATGATGAGAGAGAATCATTGATTGGCTGCCTCCTGCATGTCCCCTAATGGGGATCAAGCCTGCAACCCAGGCACGTGCCCTTGACTGGAATCGAACCTGGGACCCTTCAGTCCGCAGGCTGACGCTGTATCCACTGAGCCAAACCAGCTAGGGCTTAATTTTGGGGGGTTTTTTTTTTTGCTTTTTTGTTTTTAATTGACTTCAGAGAGAGGAAGGGAGGGGAAGAGAGAGATAGAAACATTGATAAAAGAGAAACATCAATTGGCTGTCTCCTCCATGTCCCCTACTGGGGATCAAGCTGGCAAACCAGGCATGTCTCCTGACCGGGAATTGAACTGGCGACCTCTGGTGCATGGGTCAACTTTTAATCACTGAGCCACACTGGCTAGGCCAGGTTCCCTTTTTGGTCAAGAATCGTATATAATAAAAGGTTAATATGCAAATTGTCCTTCCACCTGGAGTTCAACTAGGGGGCGGTGCCAGCCAATCGGACCCCACCCATGCATGAATTCGTGCACCAGGCCTCTAGTACTATATAAGTGGTGCTTTCTACTTGATAGTTTTTATGAAGAGGTCCCATAATGTCTGATTGCCCTATCTTTAGTGATGAAGATGGGAGTGTGGGTCATTTCAGTCTGGTCCCTCCATTGTAACATTCTTTATCTGATCTCCTACTCAACGGTTTTAGTAGCTATTGATGGTCTTTGTTTAGATCTACGTATTATTGCCTGAGGGGTTACAAAATGGTGTTTTCCTAATTCTCTCAGTTCTTCTGTAAGTAATAGCTGTGATTTGTCTATAAAGAAGACTTTTTCTCATGCATGGTTACCCTGAAATACAGTTCATAGGCAGCTGGATTCTTTCCCCTGTACCTTTAATATCCTTAAAAGTTTATCATTTGACAAAGAAGCTGAGGGACACATTTACTTACTGCTAACAAATTAGGACTTTAGAAAGTTGAGCAGAACTATAAAAAGGAGCCCTAGCCAGTTTGGCTCAGCGGATAGGGCGTTGGCCTGACGACTGAAGGATCCAAAGTTTGATTCCGGTCGAGGGCACATGCCTAGGTTGCGGGCTCGATCCCCGGTTGGGGGCGTGCAGGAGGCAGCCGATCGATGATTCTCTCTTATCATTGATGTTCTATCTCTCTCTCCTTCTCCCTTCCTCTTTGAAATCAATAAAAGTATATTAAAAAAAAAAAAGAAGAAGAATCAATGCTGAGCCCCTGCCCTGTTCCCAGCGGGAGGGACATGAGTGTCCGTGGGCCGCTGCGGTCGGACGGGGTCCTGGTCGGGGGGCCGGGGAGCGGACGCCGGGTTTAAGTGACACTTCTCCAGATGGAGGGTTAACAGAGGACTTGCCTGTAGAAGACAAAGCTGTGGAGCCACTGGCAGAAGCATTGCTTTCTCACTACCTGCTGGATCTGCAGAGATCAAAACAAGCCCTCCAGGAACTCATGCAGAACCATGGGAACAAGAGGTTTCAAAATTTAAAGAATGTCATTCTGTGTTGGATATTAATGCTTTGTTCACTGAAGCCAAACACGTTCATGCCAAGTTGGTAAATATAAGGAAGGAAATACTGGTGCTTCACAAAAAGACATCAAATTTAAAAAAAAAAAAAAAAGAGCACTAAACTGCAGCAGAAGAGGCAGAAAGAAGAGTTGGAAAGGGAACAGCAAGGAGAGGAGGAATTTGAAAGAGAAAAGCAGTTAACGGAAAAGGAGTGAAAAGTTGAATGAGCCAAAACCGGGTTGGCTCAGTGGATAGAGCGTCGGCCTGCGGACTGAAGGGTCCCGGGTTCAATTCCGGTCAAGGGCATGTACCTGGGTTGCGGGCACATCCCCAGTAGGAGATGTGCAGGAGGCAGCTGATCGATGTTTCTCTCTCATCGATGTTTCTAACTATCTCTCTCCCTTCCTCTCTGTAAAAAATCAATAAAATATATTTAAAAAAAAAAAAGTTGAATGTGTGTGTGTGTTCTTCCCTGCCCCTGTCCTACCTGCTTTGCATTTAAGAAGACTTAAGTGCAGACTGAAGTTAAGGTGGTGCCTCGTACCATCGTGTCCTGATTTGAAATCCTTCCAGGAGTGCTGTCTCTAATGTTCATTTTAGCCATTTGAGAAGCTGCTTCTCCCCCCGCCCTCCCCCTTAAGTAAAAGACAAAATGTCACCTGGTTGGATATTTATGCGTGATTTTTCAATTTCTGTTTTACTTCATTTTAAAATTCAGTATTTTGGCCTTGAATCACATATGAACTGGAAAATGGTTTGCTTGTTTTTTAATAGTCTAGACTTTAAATGGTTAAAAATTAGTATGAGCGTTTTAGTTTCTTAATAACTGTGGAATTAAGTTTCAGTTTCTTATTTGATGAAATGACGTGTCTCTTTTGGAATACAATGCTGGCTTTTGGCAAAAAAAAAAAGAATCAATGCTTTTTACACTTTAAGTGAATGGGAAAATAGCATTTAATTAATTTACCAAAGTTGGAATGATTTCTGCATTTTTCAAAAAGCATGAGTGCTGGTACATCTGTATCAGAAATATGCAGGGATGTAGTCCAAAAAAAAAAAGAGCAAAAATACCAGGAGAAAATTATCTGAGAAATCTTTGCTTAGTGGCTGGAAGTTAAGGACAGAAAGTACTTGGGCCTACAGGACAGGGGGCAAGTGAATTGTTACTCTCTCTTCTTTGTAGCCATCAGCCGGCACAGACCCTGCCAGAGCCTGGTATCTTGGTATTTCTTCCTGAGCAGAAGCTTCCCTCCCCGCCATTGAATGGATATGAGGTACCAGGTTTTCACTTTTCGGTGGGTGGCTGTGGGAAGGTGGGGAAAGCACTTTGCTACAAGTGTGTGTATTTGTTGGAATGAAAGAACAAATCGCTTCTGTGAAACTCTGGGGTCAGGATTTAAAGGTGGGCGGCTAAATGGTGATGGTGTCACTTTCCCAGGGACGACTGCCCTGTCCCGGGAGCCTTATCCAGAGTCCTGCCACACAGGATCTCACTGGGCAGGCCCTCTGACAACCCTGTGAGATAGGTGTTAGTACCTTACTTTATGGGCGAGAAAACGGGAACTCGGAGAGTGACAGTGACTTGTCCACTAGTTGGAGTTCAAAGGCTGGTTTCAAGGGGAGACACACAAGCTGTGCCTCGGCACGTCACCTGGTGCGGCTGGGGCGAGATTCCCTCGGTCGTTGAGCCTGCACGTCATGCTCCTCGGGGTACAGGCTGCTTTGCTCAGGCTACAAGGGCACCTTCGATGGCCTTTAACTCGCCAGGTCACTGGACTAACGCACGCACCTTGGGGGTCTCCCTTTACCTCTCTGCATAATGCTTCGTTAGCCATGTCAGCCTGGACAGGCCCAGTGCCAACTAGTTCAATGGCATAAACTGCCAGACAGGGCAACCTAAACCAGCTTATCCCACCTGCTGTCAGAGGCCTGGCAACGATACTCAATGGCATAGGGGGCCACACATGTGGCCATTTCATGCTTTAAATATGTCCTGTTTCACATTTTTACATTTAAATTTTTTTTTTTAGTTGTCAGAGATCAATAGCTATGGCTCGGAATATGCCAAAGTAACTGCGTATTTTAGAGTGACGATGAGACACGTCAAGATTGAGAAGATCAAGAAGCTCAAGAACCCACAGCTCTTGGATACTTTTCAAAGGTTGGTGGCCATGCGATCAAGTTTCTTCACAAAGAGTTCACGGGGATTAGTTGAGGCCTATCCTTTAAGATGTATAGTCACTGGTTTCTTTTAGTCGTCAGCAGTTTCTTCGATCTCTAGTTCTCATTGTGTACACTGGAGCTTCTCTCTTTCAGCGTCAGTTTTGGAATCCAGTGATTTCACGTGTCTGTCATTTAAAAGTTTTCACCAATTTTGTTTTCTAAAGCTGTTTTCTTAATGTAAGTAGCTCCATTCTGAACGCTGGTGAAATGACATTTTAAGGCAATTAGGCTCTAGTTGGCATTAATGTTGTTAACCAGTGTGGGAGAGAAATGTTCTCGGCATTAAGTTTCACATTTCCTGTGTTAGGAGAAAAATGGAGATGAAGGTCACCGAAAAATACCTATTTTGTGCCACACACCGCGCTCACGTAGATTCTATCTGTGCGAATAATTTCGACTGGACCTTGCATGGGACTTCTGAAGGCACCTATGGAAAAGGTTTGTGCTGGAATAGAGAAGCCTGGGTCGTAGGTCATAACGCGGGCTGTGCGTTGCTTCTGTTACGAGGTTGTGTGATTATTTTATATGAACCAGAAAGTCCAAACTTTCGTAGTCAAGAAGAGAAAATAGCTCACCTGCCTTAGGTGCCCAAATTAGAGTGGCAGGTTGACCAGGGACTTGATTGCCACACCTGAGTCCTGCTCCTGTCTTCCGTTTTCGGAAGAGAAAACTTCCCTTTTTTTCTGAAACACCTTAATTCTCTGAGACTCTTGGATCTCATACACACTTGCAAGCTACACCACCTGTTGGCTGTTACTCAGTTCTGGCTGTGGCTCTCTCTGACCATGTCCATCCCGTAGAAGCCACAGGAAGTAGCCTCCATTGCCACGAAGAGGTTCTGATAAAAGATGGGAGCAGAGGCCTCTCCATTGCAGGCCATGCGGGGTCCCCTGGGGACTGAAGTTACACAGGTCTGTCCACACATGAAGTCTTTTCAGCTCTTTCTGTTTGCTCCTAACCTTCATGCAATTCTTAGAAACAAAACCAACAAAAAAAGTCTCTCTCGTCTTAAAGGAACACGTAATAGTTTATCAAGGTTCAAAGTGGGCTCAATTCATACAACTAAGATTAAAATCATACACGCACACCTCAAAAAAGCAAAAAGCCAATTAGTCAACAATATTTTTCATTGATTTTTTTTAATGTTTTTATTGATTTTAGAGAGAGATGAAGGGAGAGAGAGAGAAACATGCATGTGAGAGAGAAATATCGGTCGGCTGCCTCCCGCACGCCCCCAAACTGGGATTTGAGCCTGCAGCCTGGGCATGTGCCCTGACTAGGAATCAAACCAGCAACCTTTCGGTGCATGGGGCAATGCTCAAGCAACTGAACCCCACCCTCCTGGGCAGTCAACAAATATTTTTGAGTACCTGCTATATGCTAGATGTTGGGGACACAGTGGTAAACAAGTTAGACATGCCCTCCCCTCCCCAATTATTTCACATGATTAATAAAATGATTGCATGTGCAGCTGCTGGGGAGGAAAAGAATAGGTCCTGAGGACACCTAACCCAGCTGGAGAGGTGTTCCCCAGGAAAGGCAGATAGGGGTTCCTCTGCCTCCTAGAGTAAATCAGCATGTAGAGTCAGGGACAAGTGATGGAAAGTATGGCCACACGACAGATTTGGGCCTTGACCCTAAGAGCATCGGAAGCTAATGAAGGGTTTAACTTGGTCTTATTCCGAGTGTTGTCTAGTTAACAAAGCCCATTATTTTTTGTAGTGCATTTCTAGAGCTCATCCTGATCATCAGAAGCTGACTATCATTCTCTCTTTTTCTTTATATAGTCCTTCCAAAGATTCTAATTCTCTCTGAGGCAAAGAATGTGTCTGGATAAATAAAAAATGGTTATGTATCAAAAAGTGCAAAAAAACGTAAGAAATAAAAAACAGCACAGTGTCTTTGACAGTACTATCCCATTCAGTGGTTCTCAACCTTCTGGCCCTTTAAATACAGTTCCTCATGTTGTGACCCAACCATAAAATTATTTTTGTTGCTACTTCATAACTGTAATGTTGCTACTGTTATCAATCGTAATGTAAATATCTGATATGCAGAATGGTCTTAGGCGACCCCTGTGAAAGGGTCGTTCGACTGCCAAAGGGATCTCGACCCACAGGTTGAGAACCACTGCATTACATCAATTATACTGGTTGAATGTTAAAATCTGAATAAAGTAGATTTTAGAAAGTCAGCATATTGGGAAGTCTGTGATTTGTGGAACAAATCATATCCAGCTAGGGCACAAAAAAAAAGATTTGAGAAGAGTGTTTATGAAGATGAGACATGGTGGCAAAGGCTTGGGAGGCTGTAGCTAGTCTAAGATTTCTAGAACTAAAGCAGAAAAAAGGTCTTTACAAGCCATGATTGTATTTATGAAAAAATAAAAATAAAACCATATTAGCTTAAATGTGCATATCTGTATGTAAATGCCTAGGAACAGGTGTAAGAGAATTCCCACCAAGCTGTTAACTGTTTGCGAAGGAGAGTGGGAGTGGAAATGGTAGGTCAGTATAGTCAGACTATCATTCTAAAAATATATATATATATATATACTTTTTAAAATATATTTTTATTGATTTCAGAGAGGGAGAGGGAGAGAGAGAGATAGAAATATCAATGATGAGAGAGAATCACTGATTGGCTGCCTCCTGCATGCCCCACACTGGGGACCGAGCCTGCAACCCGGGCATGTGCCCCTGGCCGGAATCAAACTGGGACCTTTCAGTCCACAGGCCTACGCTCTACCCACTGAACCAAACCGGCCAGGGCAATACTTTTTATTGACTTTAGAGAACAAGAGAGAGGGAGAGGGAGAGAGATAGAAACATCAGTGATGAGAATCATTGATTGGCTGCCTCCTGCACTGGGGATTGAGCCTGCAACCCAGGTATGTGCCCTGACTGGGAATCGAATCATGACCTCCTGGTTCATAGGTTGATGCTCAACCACTGAACCACACTGGCTGGGCCGGACTGTCATTTTTAACTCTAAATATTGTTGAACATCATTTACCCAGAATACCCAGTAGTGTACCTATTCACGATAAACAATATTTCATGAATTCAAACATCTGAATTATAAAAAAAAAACAGCAAAAAATCATAAACATTTGCAAAAAAGTATTTAACATTTATTACTATAAATACTACAAATTCATTTTACTTATTACTTTTTGCATAGAAATCAGACTTTTCAATATATACTCATTTCATTTAAACAGGCAGAACAGGCCATAGTGGTTTGGCTCAGTGGATAGAGCGTTGGCCTGCGGACTGAAGGGTCCTGGGTTCAATGCCGGTCAAGGGTACATGCCTGGGTTGCAGGATTGATCCCTAGTGGGGGGCCGTGCAGGAGGCAGCTGATCAATGATTGTCTCTCATCACTGATGTTTTCATCTCTCTCTCTCTTCCCTTCCTCTTTGAAATCAATAAAAATATTTTAAAAAATAAATAATACAAAAGGGCAGAAAAGCATGTGGCAATGATAAAAATAAAAATAGAAATATTTTATTTGTTAGGAACTTGTTGATCTGCTGAGTATGGAAACCTCAGTGATTATCAGAGGGTGTTTTAGAGTTGAGGATGAGGAATCAACTGTCTTTGAAAAGCTCTGCCAGGGTTAATGGCTTGCTCATTCTATCTCTCTTCCTGTCACATTTTTCACGACCTTACCATCAGTAGTAAATGACCTGTGTCCCTTACAATATTAAATGGCCTTTGCTGGAATATCTTTAGTTCATCAGTTATAATTCCACTCACCCTGCATGAATTGCATGAATTGCATCATTGTGATATCTCCACTTGGTCATTGCACCCAGTGGCTCTCACCATCACAGTGAGCCCTGCACACTAGCAAATGTTGCTGTTATTCCGGTAGGATTATGCACTGTATTCAAGTTTACTTGTATAATAAACACTCTTTAAATACAAAGGAAAGCCCTAACCGGTTTGGCTCAGTGGATAGAGCGTCAGCCTGCGAACTCAAGGGTCCCAGGTTTGATTCGGGTCAAGGGCATGTACCTTGGTTGTGGGCACATCCCCGGTAGGGAGTGTGCAGGAGGCAGCTGATCGATGTTTCTAACTCTCTATCCCTCTCCCTTCCTCTCTGTAAAAAAATCAATAAAATATATTTGAAAAATAAATACAAAGGAAAGCTTGTAAGTATCGGTAAGGTATTGTTGACATATACTTAGTCCAGTGACTTTTTTCAAACTTTTTCGTGTCATGGCACACAGAAACTAATTGCTAAAATTCTTTGGCACACCAAAAAAAAAAAAAAAAAAAAAAAAAAAAGGTATAATTTTGATTCATCCAAACCAGACAGCTATGGTTGTGTTGGCTGCTGTTGTTTTTTTATTTAACAATCTAAGGGGGAAAAGGTCAGCACCCCTGACTAAATAGTCAGGTATTGAATGTTTTAAAAATTCTTGTGGCATACAGGTTGAAAATGGCTGGCTTAGCCAATGCCTGTCATCTAATTAAATAAATAATCTTATAAACTACATCCTTTTATAATAATTCTTAACCTTTTTTTCTTATTATTTCTAGGAAATTACTTTACAAAAGATGCCATTATTGCCCATAAAAACTTCCAGTCTGATCCCAAAAACATCGTTATGTTTTTTGCCCGAGTCCTGGTCGGAGATGTTATCGAAGGAAAGAGGAGTTACGAAAGCCCTCCTCCACCATATGACAGCTGTGTGGATTCAAGGTTGAATCCTTCCATTTTTGTTATCTTTCAGAAAAATCAGATTTACCCAGAATATGTGATTGAATATACCGAAGCAGATAAAGCCTGCGTGGTTAGTTAGACATGATGAGGACACCATCATAAAGGATGCCATAGCCATTCCGTCCACTTATAAAACCCGATTGCCGCCGATAACTTAAACTTTTTTACATTTTCTCGCTTACTTATCAAATGCCTTAGGTCAGTGGTTCCCAAACTTTGCTGCACATGTGAATCATCTGGAAACAAACAAACAAACAAAAATCCCGATGTTCAGAATGCATCCCCTTCCAACTAAATCACTGTTTCTGCGGGCGAGAGCCAGGCAGCGGTGTGTGTCGTAAACTTTGGGAACCACTGCCTTAGACGTAACTGTAAAGAACGATTCCTAATACTACTGTGATTGCAGCAACTACTGTCTCTCCCAAATACTCTTATAGTTTACTGTATGGCACGGTTTTGTTTTGGTTAAATTGAAAAAAACTTAATTTGGGAACTTTGAGAGAAATCTAAAAATGCCCATTGAAATAAGCACATAAGACAGTACAACCTTGGATAATGATTGTGAAAAGTTGGGGGAGGGGAATGCTTAGGAATATGCGGGGGGTTGGGGGGGGAAGTAAAGGTAATTTAAATGCCATTACAGACACAGCCTGCATACCGTACCATTGCAGTGAAACTGATGTGGGGCATACATTTCGTTATCTCTACGTTTATTTAGGGGGCCCCATCCAGGTCGACTCTGGAATTCATAAAAAAGAGTTGCCGAGTGTGGCTCAGAGAGAAGTACCAACTCGAGTTAAGGGCCCGTTTGAGCTCTTAATATCATTATGTCAAAGTAGACACTGATGTTCTGATCAATATGATTCCAGAGAAGGCTTTTCTCAGGTTGGACTTTCATGAGGTGTGTGTATTTTGGGAGCACTGAGGTGCAGTCACCCGAGTCACACAGGCATGACTGATAAACTGGAGGGCTCCTATAGTCGTTCGCTATGGCAGATGAGGCTCACCGAGGAATTAGGAGCAGGGCCCTCCTGTTGCAGGATGGGCCCCCTAAGGAGACAAGATTTGTTTCCTGGTGAGCACAGAATCAGAACTAATAGGATAATGCCTCAGACCGGCTTTGTGCCTGCAAGAGGCTTTTTTTCTTCCTAATGTAACGAAATGTATGGAATTGTAGTGCAGTCAGTTTTTAGAGCAATTAAGCTGCCTGGACCAAGTTCCTTATTATGAGTCAGGTTTTTCCTTTCAATTTTCCTTTTCAAACATTCCATCCCCAATCTCCAAATATTCCTTATAGTTCCTTCCAGCAGACATGTTATAAAAACTAATTAGCATTTGAGGTTTTATATGTCAGATTTTTAATCAGTGCACAGCCTGCTACAATTCTTTGGCTTAAAGGATCCACCAGTAGCAAATGTTTAGAGGACTTTTTAGCGTAAAGTTGTTTTCTGGGAGGCTTGCCACAAATACTCTTGTTTACTTCTTCCTTTTTCATGGTAGTTTCCGTTCCGGAGTTTTCACTTCCTGATCTTGACCTTCAATGTTGCAGAGGTCCAACTTATACAACTCTCTCCGACCGCCCGTTAGACATCGCTAGTGGGAAATTTCACAGGCATCTCTGCTTTACCAGGTACAAAACGGGATTCTGGCTCTGCCACCCTCAAATGAACCAGCTCCTCCCCAGGGTTCTGTATGTAGGTACGTGGTATCACCATCCACACATCTGCTCAAACAGCAGTCCACAAGTTACCCTGGACCCCCTCCCCTACCTTCCCCTGAGCATCCTAAGCTGTTCTCAAGTTCTGTTTTCCCTCTTAAATACCTTGGTCTCCTTCTACATTGTTCTTTATTTGGCAGCAAGAATGGCCATATTTTTAAATTTTTTACTTAATAATCATCATCTTTCAAAACACAAATCTGATCCTGCCTTTAGAATAAAGTTTAAGATCATTATCATGGCCCCACATGATCTCTCCCTTCCCTACCCTCCATCATTTATTTTCTCCCACACAAGCCGATCTGGCTTTCCTCCAGTCCTTTGGGGTTTTTCACATAGCTCATTGGTCTTCAATTAGCATCGCTGCCTTCTTTTTAAATGGCAAATAGTTTGTAACGTCCACATTATTATCCTCAAAATGCAATTTAGTGGTAACGTACTCTCTCTACCTAGATACAATTTTAGAAATACATTTAAAATTAAGTAATATTAATATAAAAGGGAAGTTGAAAGTACATAACTTGGATACGACTATACTAGAAGACCTAATTAAGTACTCAGATGTTTACATCTATTTAGAATGAATAAGCAGGTAGGAGATTAGAAGCTATTTTGTACAAAGAAGTATGGGAAAATGAAACAGCAGGGATACAAGTGGACATTAGAATAAAAACTACTGATATAATAACTTACCTTAATTGATGTGGATATTTTTTAAAAATATATTTCTTTATTGATTTCAGAGAGGAAGGGAGAAGGAGAGAGAGATAGAAACATCAATCATTGATCAGCTGCCTCCTGCATGCCCCCTAAAGGGCTCAATCCCCGTTAGGGGGCATGCAGGAGGCAGCTGATCAATGATTCTCTCTCATCATTGATGTTTCTATATCCCTCTTCCTTCCTTTCTGAATTTCACTATGTAAATGCTCCGGCATGACTACAGTATACGACATCATGAAATAGATATTTATTCCTGCTTAGAGTGAATAGCTTTGGATTTAGGAGTCGATCAGAGGCTACTTCCTATAAAGAAGTACAGGAAAATGAAAGATTAGACACTAGACACTAGAATAAAGACCAGTATTAGGGTAAGTGATAATAGACCATGTACCTTATCTGTGTATGGTAAGGGAAAGAGCAAAATTACCTTACTGTAAATAAGGATAATAAGACAAGGCAAATTACAGATCGTCTAAGAGGAAAACATATATATTCTCTCAGGCGACCTGTAGGTCCTACATAAATGTCCAGCGGACATTAGAAAGTCGTATAGATACCGAATAATTCTTCGTTTTGTGGGGCTAACCCATATACTGCAGGACATCTGTTATCCCTGGCTGCATACACTGAGTGCAAATAATAATTCCCAGTTGTTACGAAACCAAAACCCATCAACTTCTTTTTTCTTTTTTTAAAAATATATTTTATTGATTTTTTACAGAGAGGAAGGGAGAGAGAGAGAGAATTAGAAACATCGATGAGAGAGAAACATCGATCAGCTGCCTCCTGCACATCTCCCACTGGGGATGTGCCCACAACCAAGGTACACGCCCTTGACTGGAATCGAACCTGGGACTTTTCAGTCCGCAGGCCGACGCTCTATCTACTGAGCAAAATCGATTTCTGCCCCATCAATTTCTAAACTATCACTGGTGAGAACCACAGACTCAGTTAACATCTAGCATCTTGAGATTAGCGTGTTTACCTCCATAAGGAGTCCTATAGATTAGATTGGATGCTTGCCTCCCAAATCCGGTTTTTAAAATAATTTGTGCCTTGCTTTGTTAATTTTTAGCGTCTATCCAACTCGAGGTTGTCTGCTTTCTGCATTAGAATGTAAGCTCCTTGAGGGCCGAGCCAACTTGCCTTGTTCACTGTGCTGTATCCCATAACTAGCTGACTGCTTCAGACCTTGATAAAATAAATTGTGTGGACGTTAGCTCAAGTATTTGTATTTCAGTCGTTGAATTGTATTTTCTTCTTCTTCTTCTTGAGACTAATAAAAAGTAAATGCAAATTTTTCTCTGCTGCCTTCATTTGTTTTGTTTCTAGGTATCTTCACAAGACAGCCAACTGCAGACACAAACAATTCAATGAGGGATAGAGAATGTGTTTTGCCCCTTCCAGCTTTATCATTCCAGGACTCAATGACGAAGGAGCCTTCAGCACATGGCTGGGAAGGGCAGGGTGGTGGTGGCAGAGAAGTCCACAGCCTGTGGGCACATCTTTTGTTGAGGAGCAGAGAGAGAGAGAGAGAGGCTGGAAGCTGCTAAGATAGTCTTTCTTCCTGTGGTCAGGGGTAGGACCAGGGCGAGACTGAGGCACAAAAGTTAAAAATGTAAATGGTCTTCAGAATTTTCCTTTGAAAGCCCTTCTCATTCTTTCATCACAAAGCTTGGATGGAGAGAGAGGAAAATCCCTGTGTGGCAGCGTAGATTTGATGAAAGTGAAGGCAGAATTGCCATTTGATTTGGACCTCAAGGTAAATAGCAAACTGTTGCTTGCCTGGAGCACGAAAATGCCACCAAACCAAGCATGAGCAGATGTTTGAGTTTTTCCAATTAGTCATTTGTCCTATTTGTCTATTTTCTCGGGCATGTCTCAAGTTTTCAGACATGTTTCATGTTGCTATTCCCTAGGTTTAACCTCCCTCCTGTGCTTCTCACTCTTCATTTTTGCTGAGTGATCTTACCAACTTGCACAGCTTCTGATACCTAGTACTTTGATGTCACTCACCTATATTCCCCTTCATCTTCCTTCACCTCTTGATCTGAATATACAACAGCCTACTGAGAATCGATCTTGGATTGTCCATTGCAAACTAAATATAAAAATTGAGATTGTAATCACTTAAGTCGTGTTTCTTTTCCATTATTCCTTGTCTTACTTTTCTAGAAATCCATTCTTAACTGCCGCCAGAGATACTATTTCTAAAACACATATCCTACAGCATGGCCACTCACTGTTTTAAGTTTAGGCATACAGCAAATGAAATTCCTGCTTTCACACACTTGAATCCTACAAATGCATAAATAAGCAAGATGAAAAATCAGTGGTAGTTTTCATGTGAAGGAAGTGGGGGAGAGAGAGAGAGAAACATCAACGATGAGAGAGAAACATTGATTGGCTGCCTCCTGCACGCCCCACACTGAGGATTGAGTCTGCAACCCAGGCATGTGCCCAGGAATCGAACTATGACCTGGTCCATAGCTTGATACTCAACCACTGAGCCACGCCAGTTGGGCTGGGGAGCTACTTTAGATTGGGAGGTCAGGAAAGGTCTTGCTGAAGAGAAGACTAGAACTGCCAAGCTCAGAGTTGAATGACAAAACGGAGATCTCTAGATGAGGGGGGAAGCATTCTAGGCAAGGGATCATGTCACCTCCCTCTCCCCCACTAACAAATTCCTGAAGTGGCTTCCCAAAGTCTTCCTATCTAATAAAAGAGTAATATGCAAATTGACCATCACTTTAACACACAAGATGGCCAGCAGCAGAGGGCAGTTGGGGAAGATCAGGCCTACAGGGGGAGGGCAGCAAGAGAGGACCAGGCCAACAGGGGGAGGGCTGTTGGGGGGGACCAGGCCAGCAGGGGGAAGGCCGTTGGGGGGGACCAGCCCAGTAGCGGAGGGCAGTTGGGAGGGACCAGGCCAGCAGGGGAGGGCAGTTGGGGGGGACCAGGCCAGCAGGGGAGCAGTTAGGTGTTGATCAGGCTGGCAGGGGAGTAGTTAGTGGCAATCAGGCAGGCGAGTGGTTGGGAGCCAGCAGTCCTGAATTGTGAGAGGGATGTCTGACTGCCCATTTAGGCCTGATCCCACACCGGGCAGTCGGACATACCTAAACGGGCAGTTGGACATCCCTTGAGGGGTCCCAGATTGGAGAGGGTGCAGGCTGGGCTGAGGGACATACCTCCCCTTCCCTCCCCCCGCCCTCCCCACACAAATTTCGTGTACTGGGCTTCTAGTCAGTATATAAGTCTAAACTTCATAGCATGGAGAGAAGGTCTTCTGACATCTGGCCACTTGCCTTCCTCTAGTTTCTTTACATGACATTAACTCATTCCATCCTCAGAACCACCCTGTAAAATAGCAATGAGGCTAGTTGAATTCCCAGGTTATGTCTTATTCATCTTTGTACTAGGTCACTGCATTAGCCATTGGCTCAATAAATGTTCATTAAATGAGCATGGTGTTGGCAAAAAGGATGGTTGCTTAGTAAATGTACAGGTCTAGACCCGTGCTGTCCACACAACTATCAAGTGAGCCACGTGGGTAATTTACAATTTTCTCATAGCTACATCAGAGAACTAAAGAAGCAGATGAGCCCAGCCAGTGCGATTCAGTGGTTGAACATCGACCCACGACCCAAGTAGTCACTGGTTTGATTCCTGGTCAGGGCACATGCCTGGGCTATGGGCTTGATCCCCAGTGGGGGGTGTGCAGGAGGCAGCCTATCAAGGTTGTTTCTCTCTCATGATGTTTCCCTCTCACTTCCCCTCTCTTTAAAGATAAATAAAAACATTTTTTAAAAAGCAGATGAAATTATAACATTTTATTTAAATATCAATGTAACACGATTAACATAAAGTTATCAATGAGATATTCTGCATTCTTTTCATTCTAAACCTTTGAATTCCAGTGTGTGTGTCTCACACATCACATCTCAATTTAGACTGGTCACATTTCAAGTGCTCTACAGCCACTTGTGGCTGGCTGGTGGCCACCTCCTCACTTAGTGACTACCTAAGGCTACCCACACCTTCTACCACATGATAGAACACGAGAGACAGAAATTAGCCTGTTAACAACTGTGGGCCAGCTCTGACAAAAGACTGCTCACATTCCTGTATACCTGTTGGAATTTAGGATTAATTTCTAGTTATCTATTTCTCCGATTATCCTGAAGAGACAATAGTCAGATGCCACAGAACCTGGAAGACTGCTTATTTGCGCATGAACTTCCAATCTGCTGCCCACAGTTAATCCACAGGAACAGACACTTAAACAATCACAAAAGCTTATTCAGTGTACAACAGGCTCCAAGACAACACTTTATTCTGGCTACAGGTGGCAAGAGATGTTATGACAGAGAATCCAGATGTTAAAACAGGAATGGAATGAAAGATCATCATTGCCCCAGGCACAAGGAATAGCTCACTTGTTGCCAGATTTCTTAATTCCACCTGTGGCCAGGGGGCCCTTCACTGCCTTGGCGTTTAGTTCCTCAAGTTTCTTCTGCTCCCCTTTTTACTTCTGCTTGAATGCCTTTTCTTCGTAGATTTCCTTGGGTTGCTTTTGGCTACTGTCGCAGCTGGATGTGGGGCCTACCATTCCTTCCCCAGGAGTAGACACTTCTTCCTTGCAATTAGCCCGTTTCACCTTCTCCCACCCCTCTGTCTATAGCTAATGTACATCCTTTCAGACCAGTTTACACCTTTCTCCCCCCCCCCCCCCCCCACACACTTTATGTATAAAAAGGCTTGCAAACCCTGGCCGGGTTGCTTCATTTGGGCAGAGCATCGGCCCCATACGCCAAGGTTGCAGGGTGGATCCTTGGGAAAGCACATGCAAGAATCAACCAAGGAGCCCAGCCCGTGTAG